TAGCCTAAAATGTCCCGAGTTGCTTCAAAGGAACGCCCCGCGTTCAAGAGTGGTGATTTGCGCGGCTGAAATACTAACGACAACTTTACGTTGTTTCATATGACGACTGTTGTTTAACGGCGCTTTTCACGCTTAGAAAGTCCTGCCAAGAATGCTTGGTTGTATACAAAAGTTATGCCTCAGACGGGACGCGAATCCGCATCGCCGTAATGCGTAAATGGGTAACGCAACCGCCCGGCAAGCCTTAGATGCTGGTTCGAGTCCCGTCCGACGTATGAATTTTGCCCATAACTCACCATTCTTGTGCTGACGACAACATGCTAAATAATATAAAGTTGATGAAAAAGGCAGAAAAACCCGCTCGTAATGGCCGATAACGCCAAAAAAGGAAGCCCCATGCTCAGTCGTGCTTGTTCTGCACGAGGCGAAGAAGGGACGTGGTCCTCACTCTCCCCTTTAGAAACTCAGGCAGCTAGTAGCGGAACAACGGCACCACCATGGAGGCTTTAGAAAAGCTGGGCGTTGCCGTGGTGAGTGGTCGGGGTCGTGGCTTAGTCGCTGGCGGGCTGCACTTCCCTTACGTATTTTTGTGCTGCGAAATTAGTGCTTGCAGCAGGAATACCATGTACCATGTCCAATGTAGGCGTGTGTCAGGTGGTCGGACGGCCTCTGAAATAGGTTAAGAAGTTAGTACTTCACTTAATACCCGGTTTGACTCGGTTTTGACGAAAAATGTGCTACTTTCGAGCTATGCCAAGTGACACAATTGGTGATTTTTCAGATAAAAACTCGCTTACGGGCTGTTGTTCTGAATGACAAGGGTGCTGTCACATATCGCACAGTGGGGCCTGTAAGTGATCTGATTCTGCTTTCGAGAAAATAAAGGTCTCAAATTGTCTTTAGGATAGTCCGTGGGGTGCCAAGCACCCTCCTGCTCGAATCATTCCTATTTGCGATAAGCTGAAAAAACCATCCCGAGAAACAAAGCGAGTTTGTTCGCGTGCCGCAGAACAATTCTGGAATTCCCTGCTTCAGATAGAAGAATTAACACACTATATCTAACAAGCGATGCAAAGTACGTAGAAGTGATACTGAGAGTCGGTCGTAGTTTTCTTGATTGAAGACATAATATGCATGACTATATAATCAATAATAAGAAGTCGGGCACAAGTCAGTCAATAAGTATTTCTGCTTTCATTATCCATTGAATGACTTGGTTTTGCGTATCGCTTTTTTATAACAGTGTGGTCTCAGAAGACGATGCTGTAGCGCCCACCACCAAACCCCCCGGGTTCCCCCCCCCCACACCACCCCTATGACACTACGCCCCCCAAGTATGTTCGTGCCCAAAGAAAACGCCGCACCTTGCCTCCAGTATTGCTCCAAAATTCTAAACAAGCCAAACGAGTGGGTTTTTTAGTTTAATAATAATGTGCACTCTATTCAGTTTTATTCAGAAAATAGAAACCTTGGAGGATTTTCGCCGTCGCCTGCATACATCTGAGGTTCCTGAGCGCATGCCTTGTCGTGAAGAGGTTTGGTTACAATATATATTCCTTACCTATCCGTTTTTATTCTGTGGAATTGAAGCTCAGGTCTTCTCCTCTACCACAGCGTTCTTGTTATAGCATACATTTTTTTTCTAGGAAGCAGCCGAGGTCGAAAAATTCATTCGCAATGCGATATCGCACAAAGGAACAAGCAGCGCTATGTATATAAGTGGTGTTCCTGGAACAGGAAAAACTGCCACAGTAGTATCGGTAAGCAATACACGAATAAGTGGTGACTAGAGGTTTTTTTTTCATCAAAACATCCTGCTTAACATACCCTGTTTGGATGATGTGACTTGTAGCATACCATTAGAAAGCTATGCTTTGAAGTATTCCATTCAGCCCTCTCATTTTTAATGCATGAAAAGAACAAATGTAAGGTGAAGAGTTTCTTTTCAGGTTGTTAAACAACTAAGTCAGAATAAATCATGTCCTAAATTTTCATTCGTATATGTCAATGCTATGGAGTTTGTGGAGCCGAAAAAGATCTTCGTTGCGATTTACAATCAGTAAGCTCTGATCTTTATTTAAATGACTGTACTGACCCTTCAAATGTGCCATTTGGGCCTGTTAAGGATTACTGAAAACGAGAAACGCATATCCGCTGAAGCGGCCCGCAGGAAACTCAATAGAATGTTTGAAATGTCCGATAAACGACGTCCACCGATTGTGATTCTCGTCGATGAGCTTGATCAGCTATGTACTAAAAAACAAGAGGTAACTTAGATCCTCCTTGGTTATAAATACTTGTTGTACTAGAGGCTTGTGAAAATGTTTGTTTGTTTGTTTAGTTTATATACGACATCTTCAACTGGACAACTATAGAATCAGCACGAGTGTCTGTAATGGCTATAGCAAACACTCTTGATCTCCCTGAAAGGATGTTATGCCAGCGGATTACTAGCCGTATCGTGAGTTTTGGTATTTTTTTTTGATAGCTTCGAGCTGGAGGGATTCAGGAAAGGTGGTTCTCCAACGAGCCACGGAGTTAACGGAAAGGTGGTATATCTGAGTTAGCGGCGAAAGAAATGATCCTACTTTTTACCTGGTGATTGTTCTCAAAGTTTTGCCCTTTACCAACATTTCATCATTTCCTTTTTATCCGTGGTATTGTTCCATTCTACGGTCGTTTTCGCAGCACTGGGAGCCGGGCGTTTTCGGCGCCGGGCCAACAGCCTTTCTATCAATCAATAGCTGGCACTTGCTAGCTTCTACCATTCCTGTGAGCATTGGTGGAGAACATGCTGGCGCCGCGCCAAATCCACCCCTTCCCCCCAACCCTCGAAACGTTCCAGCGTCCGCAGATAACAGGACTTTTATTTAATTCTGTTCGCCTCTCAAAACTCCCACAAAAAGGCTGTTATGGGCAACAGTAGACTCCAGGCGAAATCCGAACCTGCACCTCACGTTTATCGGGCGAGTGCGCTATCCGTTGTGCCACCGGAGCCGTTCTTATCCTCTCAGCTATGGCAAGCTATAGCACAAAAGCCTTTGAGCTGAGAGGGTGAACATGACCCTTCTGTCCTATAAGATAACGTACTCTTCCTGTAAGCGTGAGATGTGGGTTCGAGTCCGGCTTATGATCTGACTTTTGCCCATGATTCAGCATTATTGTGATAACATCTGCAACGTTCAAATTATCATTTCGATGTGCGTTTGCAGGGTGCGGCGCGAATTTGCTTCCAGCCGTATGAGTTCCAGCAGATAGAATGTATCATTCGTGATCGCCTCAAAGAGTCTGCCAACGCTATTGACGAAGGCGCTGTACAGTTTGCCGCAAGAAAAGTAAGATTTTTTACACGAATATACTTTGATTCTGGATGGGGCCCCTTCATCGTGGTTTCTTTGTATGGAAATTAATTTCTGTGCTTTAAAGGTTGCTGCTGTGACTGGTGATCTTCGCAGAGCGATGGATTTGTTACGGCGTGCTATCGAGATCGCGGTTGAACAGGGTGCAAAGAAGCTGCTTGTTGAGCATGTGAGGACAGACAGATACTCTATTTTCGAAGATTCCATAATTAATTCTGATTTTAGGTGCTGTCTGCAACTCGTGAGGCATCTTCTACACTGCTTGTACACTTCGTGAAAGGGCTGTCCAAGCACGGTTTACTGCTATTCCGTTCGGCGATAGCTCTGGTATGCTCTATTTCTTTTTCGCCTTTCAGTTATA